CTCCCAGTTGGGCCCCTGAATCTTGATTGAGAAGGGTCTCTGGGCTGGCACGGGCAGTGCTTGGTGGCAGCCAGGAGTGCCAGGGCAGAGGAGACACCAGTGAGGGCTGCTGATGCTGTGAAGGGTCTGCAGCTAAACAGAACTATTGCTTGTCTCAAACTTCCCCCCCAAAAATGGTCAAACTTGTTCTAGTTCAGTAACCAGCTGGAGAATACAAAGGACAGAGAAAATAATCCTCTTGCAGAAGGAGAGAGGGAGGGTAGTTTAACTAGCAGTGCCTTACCCAGCATGGCCAGAACCACCATGTCCTGAATGCTGGTGCTCACACACCGTAACACTTTCCATGTACTCCTCTGTCTGGGAATATTCACACCAAAAGCCTCCCATAGGAAATCTGAACCTTCCATGCTCTCCTGACTCCCTCGCACCCACCACAAGGTATTTGAGGACCTTCTACCTTGATGCTAAAGGAACAGTGTCAAGGTAAAAGTCATACTTTAGGGGATCTGTTGCCCTAGTGTAGAGCACAGCTTCACTATGGGTTTTTTAAGTTGTGATGAGCTGTTACTCCCCCCAGGATAACACACAAGTGCTTAAGCACTCAGGTTCCTCAGCCACTTCAAATCCAAGTTCTTTGTCTTTTGGTACCAGGCAGAGAGACCTGTGCAGGTCCCAGCACGCCTTCACCTCCCCAAACACTTCCATCACCCAAATTTCTACTGCCACATATTTTAAAACTTGTGCAATTCTCTTAACGAGCCTCGTAACACAGGCATCTTTTGAAGCCCTTGCTCCTTGAGTTACATGAGACTTCGCACAAGACCATCGGCTTTCAAACAGCATATGGCTCTCCACTTTGTAACATCACAAGAATCCCCCAAAAATCATGACTTTCCAAAGGCTTTTAAAAACTGACAGCAAAAGACCAGCATCCCAAAAGATCAGCTGCCCACTGGCCCCACTGCCACTCACAGACCGGTACGTGTAGGAAACAGCCAGCCCACCATGCCCCCTCCAATTAATGCATGAAAACACAGCAGCCAGGGCAGGAGTAAGAGCAAATCCTTTACAAGCAAAGGCTGCTGGAGTGAGGAGTTGTGTTGCATAATGACTCTACTTCAATACTTCTCCCCAAAAAAGAAACCCAACTTCTGCTTATTCTAGGGCAAACTCAAAAGGTTTTATTTTAATTTTTTTTTTTAGCAAATTCTATCACGTAAATGTTAACAAAAAACATCTGTACAATTGCCATGATACACTCAAAAGTGAAACAAATAAGATATAAATACAGATATGGATGTAACATGACAAAAGCAGAAAAAATAGAAAAAATACATGCGCATGAACACGGTGCCAACAAAGTCATTTCTCACGGCTGGCATTTTTCAGAGCAGTTTTTACTTCCCATTTAAAACATTGTTAGCAACGTCCCGCTGTATACTACAAAGGTCTATTTTTCTGTCCCTTAATATGTAATATTATGCTTGATAAATAAAGGGGTGGGGAGAGAAGGTTTTGATGACAAAGATGCGAGTTACATTACTTATACAGGTTATTGGTAAGCTAGTAATAAGCAATAAAAAAGACAGTCTCGTATTGTATTGTAATCCAGGCAAGCACACATAGTGTACCTTAAGAAAGCCACATGCCTCAATATTTCTGCACTACATGAGAACTACAGTACGTAGACCTGTGGGGCGGGTGGATCTGGTATTTGCCCATGCCCACGGAGCACTGTTGCAGCCAATGGCAGAAAAAACATCCACATCTGAGATTTCGGCAACCTTGCAGCCAGGAGCCACTGTCTGCTGAGAGTTTCTCCCATTCAGACTTCTAAAGCATGGTGGGCAAAGAAAATACACTTTTTCTTTTTTTTTTTTTTTTAAAGGTATGAAAAATTGAAGCCCTGCATAATGGGCAGCAAGAAAAAAAAAAGGCAGCTGCAGTAGATAGCTACTGCTGGGAGAACGTGAACACAAGCTTCACCGGTGCGGTGAGGCACTGCCAGCATGCAGATCTTTCTCTGCAAGCGTGCGTGGACACTGTGATTTGTAGCCAGAGAGACCTTTATGCTTGCTGAAGAGAAAACAAAATGATTGTACAGCTTGTTGAAGTCAGAACACTGGAGATCAGAGAGGTGACATTCAGAGCTAGCCCTTTGAGTACTTCAAAGGAAACACACACACACAAAAAAAATCGGGTCGTGTTCAACATACTAAACAACCTCACTATGTACATTATACGCAATGATTTATAAATACCTAAGCAGAATGCTCTCTACTGTATACAGGTATAACATACTTCTAGAGTACTCAAAGGATGAACAGTCCTCGACTGACTCACATAATGAAATTAAGTAGCACATTAATGAGCATCTGTTGACAAACAGAACCAAATTTGATTCAGAAAGTAAGGCCTGGTTCTACCATTTGCAGCCCCAAGTGTGCCAATAGTATCAGAAAACACAGGCTCGTCGCTGGAGTCGCAGCAGGTTGCCTGCGTCTTTTCAAGGACGAGCTGTTCACTCCTACTGTAGTGTCAGCGCACATGCCAGGGTCAGTTCAGGGACGTTACAGTGCGTTCACTCTCAGTGCATACTAACAGGATTTTATAAAATATATAAAATCATTTGAGAAGGAATTCAATTCCTGGAGATTTGCTACAGTGTGCCATTCAAAAAAAAATAAAACAAACAAACAGCAAATGGTGATGGACCAAGCTCCATCACAGCTGGGAGGGACTAATCACCATCTGGTCAGCTATGCTGACCTTCTGAACCCCAGAACTGGAACAGAAGATGCTGAACTGAGATGGGGAGAAAGAGAGGCATAAATACTAAGCAGTTAGAGTACAAATAAAAAAATAAAATAACAAAACAAAAAACACCAACAAAAAACCAAACCCAGTACTAAAAATTCAAACAAGACAGCTAACAGCTGCCAACAAGTTGGTTGAGTATTTCCTCAAAAGGGAAAATAAATTTGTGTTAAACTAAAATAATTTGAATCATTCAAAAAATTTAAAAAGAATATTCTAACAAGCATACTGACAGATGTTGAAAAGAAATGGTCCACGGAAAGGGAAACACCAACCATGGAGCAGCCAATCCTCCCTCTAGTGAGGATGGCTTTTCTGAGCCTGCAGAAAGACCCTGGAGGAATCCCACCCACCAGGATGGCATGGTTTCTCTTGCCATGGCATTGCTCATTGGGAAAGATGAGGGAACTAGCCCTGCAGGCAGCAAAAGCCTGGACACATCCTGGCAAACTCAGGAGCAGGTCACCTCCTCTGCTCTCACGTCAGCAGGGAAAGGGACCAACAAGCTTTGCAGCCCAGTCTCGCATGGTCCCTACCAGCCCCAATCCCTCCTGAGCTGGGGACCAGGAGAGGAGCTGGCACCAAGCATCACCTCCCAGCATAGCTCCTCAGGGCTGGGACTCACAGGGATGAACCGATGGAAAAGGAGGACAATGGGGTTTTACCCTCCCCGCTGTGCTCCCCTGCTGCGGTACTGGAAACTCTCATGTTCTCAGTACGCTACCAAGGTGTCCCTTCAGGTCCCCTGACGGGAAATGCAGGGGGCTGGAGAGAGACAGAGGCACTGAGAGTGGCCAGGGAGCACACATCCACCACCACAGCTGCAGCATTAAGCTGCATGTTCACCATCGTTTTGCATCACTGGCACTGGGGGCAAAACCCCAGTTCTGATCCACTGCAGGTTTGGGGTGGGCATACCCATCAGCCAGGATCCAGCCTAGGACCGAACACAGCACTAGCATCCTCCTGCTTCCCCTGGTTACAGGCAGAGGGAGCTCACCCTTTGCAAACAGAAGGGTCTCCTTTTGGGAAAGGGTGGTGCCCTGGGGTATTTGACTGGTGCCAGTTTGGCTCTGACTCGATCTGTGTCATGAGGCTGCAAAAGGATTTGTCCCACTGCACCCTCACTCAGAGCACCTTGCTGACAGCAGTGCCCATCGATGGCCCTCTGCACCCCTCCAAAATGCAGAGCACCCAGCAGGGCTGTACGTGGGGTTGGCCAGGAAGGCGGAGGTTTCTAAAGGCAGCTAACAGCACTGCAGGCTCTTCAGGCACAGGAGGGGGAGCCACGGGAGGCAACCAGCACTGTCCCAGCTGGCTCAGCAGGTGCTTCCACCAGGTCTTTTTGTTCAGTTTCAGATGCCCTTTCTGTCCTCTGGGATGAACATTTTGCTCAAAGCACAAGAGAGTTGTGGGGACAAAGCCATCCACCACCAAACACCAGTGGGTTTGGTCAGAGCAGCAGATCAGTCCTTTGATGCTACAGACTGCAAGAAAAATGCAGCTAGCCTCACAAGGCAGCACTGAGATACAGCCCTGCCAGCTCCCACTGCCCACTCATAGACGCGCTTAGAGCCTAATCCAACACTCACCCACCTAACTCCAGTGTCCCATTTGCAGGCATCGGTCCCAGAATTGGGTCTTAGTTCCCTTTGGGGAGTAACAAGTAACCTGGAAAGTCTTTTGAGCGTATGAAAGAGCCAAATGGGTTGGGAGGGGAGAAATACTTACACAGTTAATGAAAAGAGCAAAAGCCCAGCTGTTTTGCACAGCACAGCTGGCTGGAGAGCAGTTACAGAGTTATCAGCCCATCAGAGGTCTGTCAGAAGAACTATGTACAAAAACTCAGATGTTTAAAGAGAACCTACTTTTTCCTTACTCACTTGATATCTCTCAGTATTAAAGCATCCGAGGCTGGAATCACAGCCACATCTGCAAAGATCTCCCCACGGAGAGCCCTGCACGTTAGACAAGCTGCAACAGGGAGTACAAAACAGGACCACAAGACTTGCAAGAGGAGGAGAACCTAGCCAGAACGGCTGCAGGGAGAGAGCAGGTAACTAGCACACAGAAACCAAAACTGGGTATGAACTAAACCAACAAGATTTGTTTGACCTTTACGCGTGTCCAGGTTCTTGGACTCAGTTTTGGAACGCTAACCTAAACATATTTCTGAGATTTCAGCAGGCTATACAAATATGTTTAAGTATGGCTTTCTGTTGTTCACTTTTAATGAAGACTGCAACACAGACCTTGCTTCCTTTACATTCAATACCAGTAAGATTCTACATAAAAGCTTTTAAAGGGACTAAAATACTGATTGCAATAAATATCTGCATGGCCTCCTTGAGCTGATGGAGCGCGCCAGTGAAGAGTAGCAGAAAGGTCTCTGAGAGGCACCGTTGATTGCTTCTAAGTCTACACATATGTCCACATATCTCCATTAACTGTGCGTTGAAACATCTGAAGAGGAACTGCTGTTGCTGTTGGTGGTCTGGGCCCTCTTTATGTACAAGTTTAGTAGCTTCATCTGAAAGAAACAAACAAACATCAGGAGAAGATGCCAGGAAAAACAGGAGGACAAAAGTTGACTGCAAATCTTAAAACTCTCATTTTGCAGTGAATTCAGTTTTGACTGAGCTGATGCTGGGCTCTCTGGAGAAAAAGCAGAAGCAAAGCTGAGCGTATTTCAGAACGCATAGAAACAGGAGGGTATGCCTAGTCCCACTGAAGTCACAGACAGATTTAGTAGGATTTAAAAAAACCTCTTGCATTTCACTTCAGCAGTCATCAGTTCACAGACCTCAATCCTGCAGCCTGCTCTAGGCAAGCAGGATTCCCACGGAGGTCAGCAGGGCTGCAGGCACACTGGCGATCCGAGCGCCACGGTCCCTCCTAGGAAACACCCTGAACTCCCCATGCTTTATAAAATGTTCATTTTCAATGACATTTCAATATCTTCACTAACGTGGTACATCTAGTGAAACTGCAGCTGTTATGACTATATACTTCCTTTGCACGGCTTTGTTTTCTTTTTCTGCCTTACCACCTTAGCTCCAGATCCTGCAATGACTCATGCACACATTTAACTTTAAACATGCAGGCAAGTCTGCGTAAACCCAGAAGAATTACTCACATGTTTATAGTCAGTTATGTGGTGGAGTTAAGCCCGTGGCACCCAGGGCATTGGGATAATAAAGTCTCTACAACATTTTATAGGGGAATTTCCTAACTGCCCAAGTATAATGAGGTAAACCTCAGCACCCATAGCTGTCTCTTTCCAGAGCAATTTGGAGGCACAAGTAATTTGTTTAAAGACAAGAGAACTCAATTCAGAAATAAAATCCAAGTGTCTTCAGTCTCAAGTTGATTTGGCCTACACTACACTTCCTACCCATTAAAGAAATTATTGCTTCAAAATAACAGAATGAAGCCCTCTGAACTAAGTAGCTATTCACACGCAGGGGTTTATTTCAGAAACAAAAATGCAGAATTCATCTTAAAATTGCATAGAAATCTTGGGTATCACGACTTCAAACAGGACAAGTCTTGTGACAGCTTCCTGAGCAGCTCTGAAACGCAATCAAACACCGCCCACTTCAACACAAAACGCCAGCTCTTGCCTGAAGGGCAGAGCTGAATTAAGGACTTGGTTTCACTTGCAGCATCAAGTCAGAATTTGAGCTTTGATGCTAACCTGGCTACAGGGCACAAAGTCCTTTGAAGGGTCACCTGAGCTTCCTGGTGTCCCAGGAAGAAAGGGACACATGTGCCATGCTACTAAGAGTGAAGCTTTACCTGCATTTCTACCAGCCCTAATCACAACCTGCTCTCCCACCCATCCCAGCCATGCATTCCCACCACTCTTTGCACTAGATTACTTCTGTAGCCACAGAGCAGACTGTAAGCTAATTAATTTATATTGCAGATCTGGTTTTCAGCCAGAGCAGCCGGCTGATCCAACTCACTCCACGGTCACCCCTGGATGCAAGGCCAAAGAGGCAAGGTAAACACGGCTGTAGTGGGAAGGATCCGCTCGGTGACAGCTTGCAGTTACACAAGATCAAATGCATCAGGAAACCAATCTCTGAACACTACCGAATTTTTCTTAGTGGGATTTTAAATGCTCACACTGCTGAGCAAGTGCTGTGCTGTTTAGCGGTGTTTGGCAGGGTAAGATAGGACTTAACATACAGGGAACTTGACCCACAGCTACCGTGAAGCCACTGGTCTTGCTGCTAGTAGTACAAGCCACTCAGCTGGCTATTACCAAAACACCAGAGACATGTTACTCTTGTACCTTGCTTCCTGTGAGTTGTGCGAGATGAGGTTTCAGTTCTTCTCCAATTACTGAATAAATTGCCACTAGGCAAAATACACTAGCTTTACGGACGCTGCTCTCCGTATTATCATAACCCTAGGAAACAAGAAAAAAAGGTCAGAAGTCAAACAGCACTCACCAGCATCCTTCCCGAGCAATATACTAAAGAGCTGATGAACATTTTGCAAGTGTGGCTGACCTAACAGATCAATAGAAAGGCCCTGCTTAACATTAACAGTATGCAACCTGAATATTCAAAGAGTGAGAGAATACAATCACACAGTACATCCTATTTGTTCCTTATATTATTAGTTATTACTATCATGTTATAATTTACTAATATCTTGTTCTTTATAGCATTAAGCAACAACATGCAGTTTCCCAACATGAGCTTAGGACTCTATCAAATACGCACATTCCTGTGTCCAGTTCAGATGACCGTATGCTATCCTGGATGGTCAGGACTTCTTGGAGGGGAACTCCTGTGCTCTCAGCTTGCTTTCAGAAAAAGTGTTAAACACTGTGCTACACACTGAACTGCCTCTGTAACCTGGAGCTTTTTGATTATTTATCAGGAAATACCACAGAAAAGATGTTGAAAGACCCCTGTAGGTGTGCCAGATCTCTGGCAGCTTCAGGAGAGCCCAAGCTAGCCACCAGTGGTGACAGCAGTCCCATACTCAGGCAGTGGTTTATCACTAAGCTGCCATCCCACGAGAAATGCAGACATCACTTCAGCCTGCGGGATACTGGCTCCTCCGGATGCAGGGTGACCTCTGCCGGGAAAGCTGGGAGGAGGGATGCAGCACAGCTGGGGCTCTTCTAGCTGCAGGGCCAAAATATAGTCTGAAATGACAGTCTGCAATCCCAAAGAGCACTGAACTAGAAAAGCAGGAGACCTAGGTGAGCTCAGAGAAACACCAAGCTACTGGGGACCGAGGTGGAAAAAAGGCTGAGCCCAGACCCGCAGCAGAACACCACCCACAGAGACACAACCCACTGCTGGGACGACAGCTGAGACACAGGGCGCTCTCTGTGGGTCCCAACTCACAGGCTCCTGAACAACCGAGGTGGAAAAAAGGCTGAGCCCAGACCTGCAGCAGAACACCACCCACGGAGACACAACCCACTGCTGGGAGGACAGCTGAGATGCAGGGTTCTCTCTGTGGGTCCCAACTCAAAGGCTCCTGAACTCATCAGATGCTTCTGCTTGAACTCCAGTTTCCCTATGGATCAGATGCTTCTGCTTGACCTCAAGTTTCCCTGTGGGCCTGGCATTTTGCTTATGTGTGCATCCCAAATCACTCCCATGGGGGCAGGCAGATCCGTGCAGTGTTGAGGCCTGAGAGGGCTGTGTGCCGGTGGGCACTGGGTTGGTAGAGCCTGCCCCATATGCACCAGCAGGACCATCACCCCACCTCTCCATCTGCCAACTTGTTTGCAAGGCAGCAGCTGCTGCTTCTCCTGGCATTTATTAACATTACCCAAGGGTTAGAGCATTCACTCAGGGGATGATACGGGCTCAAAGCTCTCTTCGGCCTGAGGGTGTCGAGATGCAGCACATGGGAGAGTGTCTTATGGCCCAGCTCTATCCCCCTGGCTCTGAGGGAGCCAGAGCTCTGCATCGGGAACAGGGTAAGCACCATGACTCTCCCCCACCAAGCCCTGTTCTTGCCTGGAGATCCCCAACTGTTCATGAGGATCCTGCTCCAGGCTGCTGAGCTGCATGCTGGTGCTCACACTGCTGCTGGCCAATGTTCCTTGCCTCTTCACCGCTCTGCCAGTACCCTTGGCATGGTAAACAAGCACACAGGTGATGCCCTCCGCACACAGTCCTTCAGCCAGAAGGATCCCAAAATACTTCCCAAACACGAGGAGTAGATTCCTTCTATGACTTTCTAAGGTCTGGAAATATCACTGGCAAACTAGGCTCCAAAACAAGATTGGTTTTAAGACATGGAAGCAATTTGATAAAACAAATATAACTGTTTTTAAAGGCATGCTGCTCCCAAACTTTGCCAGTGCATTGAAGCTCTACTGTTCAGATTGTTGTCTCCAACAATTAAGGCTAAAAACTTTTTACAACAAAAGTTTAGATCAATACAGAATTGTCCAATTCCCAGAAGATGAGATTTAAGAAAAGAATTGCAAGAGCTGACACTACAAAGTTGTGAGGAATGCTAGGATGCACAAGGGGAATTTTTAACTTCTCTTGCCCTTCCAATTTTTTTTAATGCTCACAACAAGGAGGCTTCTTTAGCCCATAGTTCTCCACTGAAGCCCTACCCACTCAAACATGTTTCCCCTTTCACATTGTCCAATTTGTTCCTGTCACAATCTCTCCCCAGTCAACACACACACACACACACACATTCTGTCTCCTCCCTCCCTGCTACCTCCCCTTATTTCCTTCTTGTCTGCAGCCTCAACCCAGGCGCTGGCACTGCCAGTTGCTTGTGCAGGGGAACAGTAGACAACACTGCTACAGCCAGTGCTGGGAGCTAAATTCACAATGTAAGCCCAAGCCTTAGCACTGGCAAAAACCCAGCTCCCCACCCACCCTGAGAAGGTTATGAAAGAGGCTGAATGAAGTCAGCAAGGAGTTCGGTCCTGATTTTGGAGAGGAAAAAGGGAAGGACCAGCCTGCCTGCTGGGATTCAAATTCAAGTGCAAAGCACAACCAAAGCATGGAACAGCTCAGCAGAATTAAAGGAGGCTACACGATGCTTTGCTTGGTATGTACTAAGACAGTATAAGATGTAGCTAACTCCTACTCTCAAATTTATTACATGGCTGCTACTGACTTATTTAGGAGTTGGGCCAAAGTGTCTAATTGTGGAATATACACATAAAAATCTGAGTTTTCTCTTCTTTAAGATTAAAAACATCAAAAGCTCAAATATAAAAACTTAGAGGGATTAAAACTTTAATTTACCAAAATCTGGCCTCAGAGGGTCCATTGTTCTCTTAGGTCACAGACCTCACAAATTACTCAATGGTAGTTTGCGCTCAGTAGCATTTGTGACATGAGATTCCATACCTGCAACAATCCAGGAATGATATCAGGAAGGAGCTGATGCAATGATTCCTTGGAAATCCTCTCGATGACTTTTGTCTGCATTTTGATGGCAGCTAGGTTAATTGGATAATCTGCAGTCTGAATGATAGGGCAAAGCACCTTGATGCATTGCTCGGGGTGGATGGAACTTGCCAGAGTGGAAGCAGCTTCTTCAGCAGCTCTGACGACCTGGAATGAAAGCAGAGCAAAATTTTATGTTAAGGAGGTCACACTTCACAGCCAACACCACCAGCGTGTACTCGGAATGGCTGCCAGGAAGCGCTTGGGGATGTTCATTAACACATCTGCAAGAGGTTCTATTGAGAGGCAACTGACTCCAAGAATCCACACCCTTCGCCTCCAGTGACATCTTTGTTCCAGCCAGCGGTAAGAAGTCCATCCTGCCTAATGTAACTGTGTCAAAGTTCTGGCTAGTTTGAAGGAGTCATCTGTCACCCAAGATAGATAGGCACTCCCATCCTAGGAGAAATGACAGGATGACATCTCTCCAGCCACAGTAAAAGAACCTAAACTCACCAGCTTAGACTTAATACAAAATTTATCTCCTTCAACATTATAATGAATAACACCACTGCACGTTTTAGTATGCATCTCACCTGCCACGTGCTTAGGTGACCAAGCTGAGATGTGTCCTGCCATTTCCCAGCTAAACTATGCTGTAATCAAACCCAGGCTACAGGCACAAACAGGCTTTAGGGTGTCCCTGAACAGGTAGCTGTGCTTTCAGCACATCTAACCCATTAAGGCAGCACTGGGATCACTGTAAAACACGGGAGCAAGAACAAGAGGAAACAGTGGTAGCGCACCTTTTGCAACGATAGCCCACACTGTAAAGCAGTCATGCAAAACAAGGCAGATCCTAAATTCAATTCCACTCTTACCCTAAGGAAAGGCAAAGTCACAACTTTCA